GTATAAAATTACGTCATCCCCTTTGAAATAATTCCCGGCATGTTTAAATCTAACCCAAAATGAGGAATAAGTAGCAAACAATAAACAACAAATATTAGGGTCCTTTTTCCACCGATAATTCAACCCCTCGTTTGCGCATCAATGAGCACTTTGAACAGACGTAATCGAGGATGGCACTAACGTTACCAACTAAGCGCGCTTAAATAGTTTTTACGCAATGCTGCTCCTGAACAAACACAATACGATTCGAAACATACTGTTCGTGCGACCGAACTTGTGTCAGATTTTTTCAGGTGGCTATTGTACGAAATGGCTGCATTAAGCATCGACGTCACAATTATTATTTTAAGCACAATAGACGAATTATTTACGCTAACCTTATTAGGGTCCGGTTTATCTATGAGAAAGTTTATTTATGAATTTTGTCGGATTAGTTACTGTTGATTTTGCTCAGATGCATATTTTACAGTAGTACACCGATTCCGGTCTTAAATATTCACAATAAATTATGACTTGTAGTACAAATTAACTTTATGCATTATCAGCTGATGGGGCTATTTCTGTGCCTTTTAATTTGACCACACGCTAATGCTTTTAAATTCACTTGAAATTTTAATGTGTTTAAATGAAACTATGCATCTATGTATGAATTTGACCATTACTAATTGTAATTTATTTATCAAACTAAAATTCAATAAATTATTTGCTTTATTTTTAGCTAAGAATCTAGGTATTTAATTAAGTACGTTGCAAACTTTGTAAATTACTTGGAGCTTTTCATAATCCGTTCTTTAAACAATGCTAAGTGGTGGAAGTTGTAAGTTGTAGCACATTATTCATATATTATCTGCACAACGTAAATTAATAATGCGGTCACACGTAACCAATGCAAATATTATAATTGCAGTCCAATAAATTGACCAAAATTCAGTTAGCTTGCGGTTTCAGCAATAGTTACAACTTGCGTAAATAAGTAACAACAATGAGTTGATTTATTTACAGTAGTTGCAGAAGTAAGTAAACATAGTATTTAAAGCTATAAATAAGATAAAAAATAATGAATTATTTGGTTAGGTACATGTTTTGTTACTGCTTTGTTTATATTTTTTACCTGTTGTGACTTTTACATAGTAATATGGTGCTGTCTTTTGATATTTATCTGCCATGAATGTACAATAAATTAAAAATAATAATCGCAAGATTACAGAATATTAAAGTCATATTTTCTTAAGTTTATACAGTAAATGGCATGTTATTATATTTAGTTTCCAGCTCTATTTATTAGTCAAGTTCTAATATAGTAGGGTGTTTACAATGCACTTTTAGAAGCTCTTGTAATTGTGGAAGATGATCAGATGATCGTATCGTTACAATACGAGGGTTCTCGTATGACGGAAAAATAAATTAACTTAATTGAAAATTCTTTAGTGTTATTTTGCGAATGTTCAAATGAACTACCTAATTGTTACACATGACACATCTTAAACGCCGATAAAACTCTACGTGGGTAGTTAAAACGTAATAATCGTAATGCTTTTATATTTCTAATGTACTTACAACCATTTATAGAAAGTTTCCATTTGAATAATGAAAAAACGCTTCAAATGCTTTGAATACGAAGCTTTTAATATATGTTATACAGGGACATTTTTTTAATTCTGAACATAGTCGTTCAATATAAAAAATACATTGCTGCGATTCAATGAGAGTCTCAGTAGCGTATCTACAATGTAAGTGCCACGAAATAAAATGTTGCTTTATTTAAATGAAGATGATGACAACACAAACAGAAAAATTATAAGCAGATAAAATATTAAATACTTTACAGTAAGAAATGAAGAATTTTGCTGAAAACTATAATTTAAAATAATGAACAGGACAAAAATTTTTGCTTCGTCTCTTGTTTTTAACTTTTTTTGAAAACGCTGCGAATACGATTAAAAATAGAAAAATTATGTAAGGGACAAAGTTGTAGAGAATTAAATTTGCTTTAAAAAAAATCCGCGACATTATACCTCTATTTTCAACGGTTTAGGTTTAAACAGCTTCTTAGACACAAGCGAAATATTTTCGTCACTAATAAAGCATCTTTGACTGTCTGAAGGGCTAAAATCTTTGAAGATAGAGTTATAGTGTCGCGGACTTTTTTAAAGCAAATTTAATTGTCTACAACTTTGTTCTTTTGTTTTATATGCTGCACACACGATTCAAAAAAGATAAAAACATGAGGCGAAGCAAAAATTTCTATTCTGTTTATTTAAATTACGGTTTTCCTCAAAATTGCTAAATTTTTGCTATATTTTTATTTTTTACTATGAAGTAATTAATATTCTATCTGCCGGTAATTTTTCTATTTGCGTTGTCATTATCTTCATTTAAACAAGACTTTCATTGAACGGCAGCAATGCTTTGATCTGTATTTTTTCTAATTGAACATAGGGCTATGACAAAGTTAAAAAAATGTTCCTGGATGAGCTAGGGGTTATTGCTATTTAATACCGATTTTGTCTATTCTAATATAAGTATAAAATGAAACGTTTTTAAACTCTTCTTGAATTATTATTTTGTTCACAATTGGCATCAAAGTAAAGCCTACCTAATTACCTTCAATATTAATTTAAATTTTACTTCCAGCCGATAGATTATTGCATTTAATGCAAGAAAACAATTATATCACGCATCAGTGAACGCAAGTATTTCATTACTAGCAAGAGTTTAAAAAATTGAATATAGAAACATCCGAGTTTACATTTCAGTCTTTCGTGCAACGCAAACAGTTTATTCTCGTTATCTTTGCATTATAATGCGAGGCTAACAGCATCCTGACTTGCAGCTCCTTAACAATCAAACCCACAGTTTTTACTAGCGAATGCAGTTCTAAAACCTCAACTTCGTTAGTCTCGTTAGTCATAAACATGCCATTTTTGTTTCTCGGAGTTTCCCATTGTGTTTTTTACGAGCGAGAACCGTCTCCGCATTCAAAACAGCTACGGCTATAGAAAATGAATTGTAGGTATTGGTTTTGTACAGCCACATGCGCGCAAACTGTTAATTGGTTGAATTTGGTAAGGAATCGCGATAACGAGACGCAAATTGCTTCGTGTTTGCAGATACCTTCGAGTGACGTAATCAATGTTCGCGTACTGCATCGAACTCGAAGCCCATTAACAAAGTGTACAGGGAATTATATTTGATGATAAATATGTGTGACACTTCCCCATGTCATTATTCAAGCCGCATTTCTATTGAAATGAGCAAATCAATCGATCATAACGAGGACGACCGTTGAACAGATGTTCGTAAACATGCTCAAGCTGCACTTGATTCTAGTGTGAAAAGCAACTTTTAAACTTGTTGAATGGTAGACTACTTAAGTACTGTGAAAAATAAGTTTTAACTCACTAATTCCACCGGAAAATACCAATATTATGTTACAAAAAATTGGTAAATGTTTCAAAAAAGCTGCTTTGTTTGAGAAACAGATCCCATCAAATGTTTGTTTTAGCAACAACCAATTGTTTTAAAAAATATAATAACAATGTAATTATTTATTTAATTTTATATTTCCTGAATAAAATGCTTACTATAATATTAACACTATTTGCATATTCGTAACGCTTTGTGCAAAACAAAAACAAAATAAAATAATGTTGCGTGAAAAATGTGTTGAATTTATATTTAAAAAATACATTTTTACTACCCACTATAGATACATACTCGTAATTGTTTTTCATTTTTGCTTTTTTTGTTAAAATTTGTGGCTTGAGAAATGATAAGAGGGTTTATTAATTACATTATGTTTAATAAAGTTTCCGATGCTTTTTTTGTTATTGTTTGATGTATGTTATATCCTATTACTTCATTTACAGTGTTTTTCTTTTGGTTTTATTCTTTTGTCAAATGTATTTTACTATTTCTCAAAACTGTTTCCCACCTACGTCGCTTTGACATTAATACAGGGTGTTCGTTTTTCGAGCTCCACCATGAGGATCTCAGTTATTATAAGAGATGCAAGGTACGGTTAAATTAGGGCAAAGTTGCGCATTTTTATGCTGAACAATAATCTGAAAGAAAATTTAATGTGTCATTTTTAGTTATTGAATTATTGGAAAAAAACGGAAATTTGTAATTTTCGTTTTTATTTTTTCAAGCAAAAACTAAAAGACCTAGACGTTTTTAACTAGGACGTTCTTTTTTACACTTTTTACAAGGAATCTAAATCTATCCTCGTATTTTCCAAGGCGCTCTTGATATCAGAGTTACAACACTCAACTTGGATTTTCTTATGGACGCCATATTCGATTTCTGTAATTTTGAAAAGTTCTTGATTACAACGATGTGTCACACGATATGATCAAATTTTACACGTTGATCAAAATTAAGAAAAAGCGTTTTTGCGAAGAGTGCTTTTGAAAAAATGCCACCAATTTTAATTAACACAAAATTTTGAAGCTGGTGTATTCGAGCATCTTTTATAACTTTGTGTTGTTTTGTCTTACGAAGAATAAATGCTAGTTTATTACGTTGTTCATATTTCAAAATCTTAGTTTTTAAGAAGGTAAGCTTAACGGAAATGTGACTTCCAGATCCAAATTCAATTGAACTGCCAAAATTTAGTTTCTTAACTAAAATTGGTATCGTTTTTTCACAAAGCACTCTTCGCAAAAACGCTTTTTCTTAATTTTGATCGACATGTAATATCGTGTTATACCTATCCTAATTTAACCAACCTCGTATCTCTTATAATAACTGAGATCCCCATGGTGGAGCTCGAAAAACGAACATCCTGTATATCAAATGAAATAGTTTTGAGTAATAGTGAAATACATTTAACAAAAGAGGAAAACCAAAAGAAAAACACTGTATAAGATATGAAAAGAGCTATCGGCTTCTTTTATTTATTTTTATTGTTACAACATATTGAAGTTATTTACGTATTGTAGTTATATGGACTGAGTTAAAAAAATTAGGTATCAACAAGTCATCTAATTTTGTTTCAGACTTAGTTTGGTGACCTCGTAAAGAAGATTCTTGTTTCTTATTCGACACGGTGAGTTTTATGTCTTTAATAACATTGATTAATTTTAATTTATGAATGTACTTTATTCTACAAGAACCTTAAGAAACTTTTTGGGAAACTAATTAAAAATTGAAATAATACGTCTTTTGCCTGGGGTGTGATAATTTCTATTTCGGTCTACGTTTTACCGGCAATTAAAGTAATTTTTAATGAAGTATTTCTCTACATGCTATAAAAATTACAGGTTCTGGAAATATTAATGATTTATATTTAGGAGGTTTCTTATTTTTATTTTCTATTTATAATTCAGGTTACGTATAGTAGATACATACGTAGGTACATTTAGTGGTGGATTGATTTATTTTGAAGTATGTCACTGTCATATCAGCGAGTTTAAACGCTTTGCATGTTAGGAAATCGGAAATAAATTCACCAAATAAAATTGCCTTCGTTTTAAATTGATTCAAATTTGATTGCACATTTGGACCACTTCTGTATGACGCAATTATTCAGGGTTTGCGTGATTTTTCCTCCCGCTTATTTTGTAATAAATTATAGTTTTCTCACCCGTGATTATGCAAACGTAGCATAATTTTCCTTCTAACCGGGATCGTCGGAAGTTAGCCAATCAAAATTTATTACTTTGAAAAAAATATCTCTCAACATTTACTAATTAATGAATGCCATGGGAACAATAACTCTTCCTATTAACTATTAATACAAAAAGTAGTACAAGTAAAATTAAAGTAAAAACTGTAGTACGTGTCTTATTGGTAAAAGACATGCGATATAATCGATATTTTTACACACAGAAGTCACTTTTATATTGAGTTAATATGACAATTGAAATTCGGTTCGATCTGCTAAATGCGACTGTGTACCCCAAGTTGTGATATAAATTGTTTTAGTTTCAAACTTTAATAAACCACGGGACAGAGACATCTCTTGAGAGTAATTTCTGGATGCTGCGTCTCTTTTCGAGAGCAGCTGCGACCTTAGAGATAATGGATATTTAAAACACCAATTTAGTTTTAATTCGCTTAGTTTGATTGATTTTCTGGAAATCACAAGTTAAAGTTGTTTGGGGTTGTTGGGTGAAAACATACGTCTTCTTGACAAGTTTTGTCGGATCACACCACTTTCATAGATAAGTATTTTATTTTGCTGGTTTTGCTGGACAAATACAAATTAAAGTTTAGGTTTTCATTTTTGTGGTTTTTTGCTTTGTTTGAAATTATTTGTAATTTATTGAAAAATGTGCTTTTATTAAATTGTTACAACAAATGTATCCACTATTTTTACCAAAATATTTCACTACAAAAATTTTAATGGAAATTGTTTACATTCGACATAATAAACTATTTTTTCAATGTGCAATGTGTTTGATTTTGTAATAGAAGTTGAGGAAAACCTGTTTTTCTTTAAATCAATGAGTAAGTGTGCCGAGATTAAAATTCTGTCACGTGTATAATTATAAAAAATGTCCAATGTGTTTTTAACCAAAATATGATTTTGTATAATTCTGAAAAATTGCATGTTTTTCGAAGCGAGACAATTCATTTCGCGGTCTAATTTTCGTAACGACATCACCTCATTCTGTTTTATTTTGTTTTGTGAAATTATTTTGCTGTTGCATCGTCTGTAAAATAAAATGAGGTTGTCTGCATTACGACTGAAAAATAAACACTTAACTGCTTGTTGTGCGATTTTTAAAGTACATATCACATAAATACGAAATGGCGAATGCGCTGGGTTAACAAAACGTTAATATTACATTAAAACTGAAAAAACCTCTTAACTTGAATAATAATTTATTGCCTTTATCTCTTATGTGTCTTGTTTGTGTTAAAGTACAAGACATTTTTTAATAAATATCGACATAATCGATATTCTTTAGAAATAAACAGAAGGCAAATGTTCTTGTAAGATATTTTTATTCACGGGGAAATAATATTTTCTCCAGCATTTTATTTTTGCACTGAAAGTTATGAAATCAATTTGCACGTCTGTGTTGACAGTCGATACAGTCACTAACAGCATACGAGTGGTTATTGAAACTCTCGAAATGTCGTTGAACCGCAAGATGTTAAATATACGAATTATTTAATTTTTTTCTCACACTTCTTAAATTAAATCAAACGAATAAAGTGGTGAAATTCTAACGTATCATCGCATAAAGGAAAACTGCGAGCAGAATCACCTTATCTACAGCACACACTTAGCTAACTCAATTTTAGGATAAATATTGCCTGTAATTGGATCCGAACTAATCAGATTTATATAATGATTCATTTAGGTGGAGGTAATTTATTTTGCTTCTAATGTTTATGACGGGATCGGTGCAAAATGATGAGACCATCACAGTAATTGAAGTTTTTCTGCACTTTCGGGATATTATAATTCGTACGCCGGAAATAAATATTCGGGGTCGTAAAAGGGATTGCGAAAAATCGTAATTTAAATTTGGTTTAAGCCGTTATTTCCAAAACGGATTAAAACAGAATGATCTGACAATGTTGGAATTGTTACTTTGAAAAAAAAACAATTCGTTTATTAATTCCCAGTTTAATAAATACAAATTATTAAAGAAAGGAAATAAAACAGCAGATAAAAAAATATTTAATTTCCTTCTTTTGCTATATTGGAAAATATTACAAGGATTAACAAATTATTATTTAAAATAATACTAAAGGTTATACTGTTATTTTACAAATATTACGTGTTTTGACAACAAACTGAATATTTTATCGTTACTAAATTATATTTATTGAAATTGATGTAATATTGGTGAATTATTAATGGATATTTTGTGTACGGATATGTACAACTGCTCGTGCATTTAATTAGATTATTGTAAGGGATCGATATTTTATTACCTAGTTGCTTTATAGTCCTAATGAGATTTAAGAATGAATTCTGTGCATATAAAGCAAAAAGGAGGAATTATAGGACACGTGTCTAAAAGTTGTAAAATGTAGGTAAAAACTGGAATTGGAGATAAAGTGCTATTAAAGGATACAGGATGAAGGCGGGTTACGGTAGGATAAGCCCTACCGCCATCGATTTTATCTTAGTTATACATTTTTCATTTGAAAATAAAGGAAAATCAATTCTGTGTTGATTATGACCGAAAAATATTCAGGCGAAATGACGGTATTTTGTGCTCATTCATTAATGATCTTGCTAATGACTCGGCATTATAAATTTATTTATGGTGATGTTATCGGTCGAATATCTGGCTAATGAGGTTGGTCTAAATCCCAGGATGTGTCGATAAAAGTCGTCATTTTAATTAAAATAGTGCATTCAGTTCATGTAACACGCAAAGTTCTACTGGAATTGAGAGTTGACATCCATTCTCGCAAATCCCTCTTCATATTTATGTTTGAAATTTAGCGTTAGGTATTATTTGCATATATCGGTGTTTCGTGCTTTAACTTGAAAGAATACCCAAGTTTGCTCATAACTCAAATCTCAAGTTTTCCAACTTTGTGAATTATTTCGGCGACGATTGAGACTTGTAAGATTTTTTGTTGGGTACTTGTCGTTTTTGATTTGCAACAAGAAAGTATCCAACAATATTAGAGTTTGTTATCTCTGGCGAAGTAACGTCAGGAATAATCCTAGAAGGTGGAAGATACAAGATTACAGACCAAAGGAGAAAACTGATGAGTTAAATAAATCGAAACCGTCGATCCTTTAATCTCGACACATCCTAGCTATACTTCTTGCTAGATATTGAAAGAGCCAACATAGTTTGGGAACGGTACTCTTGAAAATTGCAACTCAGGAAAAGCTGTTGTAATGAGGCGTTTGCTAAAACGGATGCAGCTCGTAAGTTTCAACACTGCCACAAGCAGTCTCATACAACCAAACACCAAAGGAGATATGTATACATTCAATTGCAAGTTACTGACTGATACTGAGGTTATTACAATGATTCGCTGAGGTCAGACGAATCCCACTTTAATTGGCCTCTTGAGAACGGACAACTCATTAGAAATATATTTTTAAATCTTTCAGTTGTGTAAACTTGTCTTTCTCAAGATGCAATCACAAAACTGATTTCTTGAGTTATAAAAACACAAGCTAATTTGAGGAGATTTTTATAAAAAATGGCAAATTAAAGTGAATTGGAAACAATTAAAACTTAATCTGGCGCATCCACCAATTATGTGTCAAATACCAGGTGAATAAAAAGTATGGAACCAAACGTTTTTTGCTTAAACTATTTATTTTTTGTAAAAACTAATTGATGAGTGATAAAGTACTATAAAAATGTGATGATTTAACAAGAATAAAATTTGTCTAAATTTTCTTTTGTTTTCAGTTCTACAAAATAAAATATTTTTTTAAATGGCAACCCACTATAAAATCATTTTTCTCATAAAAGCTATACTCTAAGGATTACAACTATCTACTTTATATTTAATTTTTTGAAAAAAAAATTTTCACATAAATTGCAATTTTGACAAAAAAAATCGCATAACTCAAAAACAAAACAAAATTTCGTTCTGAAAATACGATCACATTTTTTATATTATTTTAATTTATATTAATTATTATTTTCTGGAGACAAATGATTAAAAATAAAACTGCTTGGTTCCACACTTTATATTCACCCTGTATGTATTTTTAAATTGTATTGGATTTATTTTGTTTTATGCTTCCTTGTTTGCTGACAGATTATTTTTTCAATTGCGCTTTCTGAGTCCATTATTTTTTACGTCTAAACTAATATTAATGCGGTGACGCGCAGGTTAGAACGTCTACATTGTTCGCTTATTTCTCCTTTCAGTATTGTTGTTTGTCTATATATTTCGCAGGTTTATCTCATTGAATTGGCTTGCAACGTTTTTATTTCGTAGGATTTATGTAGCAAACAAAGTTTATCAGGCTTAAGATGATGCGATTGTTTTGAAAGTTTTATCGGGCGGTTAAAGTTTGCATGTCTAATGCACTCCTTGTCAGTTACAGTTTATCATCGTAAACTGTTGAATAAATATCCGATTTTATTTCATGCCCCATTT